GTCTCAATTCTCAACATTCTTTCTTCGTAAAACTACTGTTTGTCACGCTCTCTTGATTAGTTACTCAACTATTGGCGATTTTGATGTTACAGTCATGTTGTTAAGTTGAAAGTGAGAGAACGACGCTGGTAGCTAGTTAATGTTCAAATTATTAGAGTATATATGAGAGGAGAGAGTTCATTCAACAGTACAAAGGGGGGAAAAATACATATACGGGATAAGAGAAGAATGTTTATGAATTGACAGTACAGAAAGGCCTGCCCTTTATCAATATAAATATGCTATTTTCCACTTTCTGGCCCTTGTTTGCTGGACTAAAGACGTATTAAGGTCTACTCACGACGTATTGAAAACTCTCAAGGATGCAAGCTGAAGAATGATATAAAGTATTAGGATATTGATCAGTGTATCTGTTTCAGGTCTGGTATATATGATTGCTGATTACTTGATAAAACGAAGCAAATCAACCTAGGAAACCTAAACAAACACACTTACTTTAGAAATCTCCCAAAATACAATTAGTTTATAAATAAACAAAAAGCCATGCACATGCTATTAAATATAGACAATTGAATGGGAACATGAAAAATTTTGGCTTGGGGCAAAGGACAGGATCGGATAAGGAGAGATAGGTGGGGAAAAAAGCGAAAGCGACAAGAGAGCGCATCACATATATATGGACATGTAATTCAATGAGCTTGATTATCAAGCTACAAGACATATATAAAAATATAAGGCGGGAAAAAAGAAGAAGAAGAAGAAGAAGTGACCGATATTAGACCAAGTTACCATAAAGCAAAACAAAAGCAGAGGTTGGCAGAAGTTGGGGGCAGAAAAAAAGCTGTCTGGATCAAAATTACAATCGCATAACCACGTATACATATAGAAGCAATATCTATATATATCATCTCTTAACATGTTTATTGTATATATTAATGACTTTGTTTTGGGGAAGGAGGGGTCATTGGTCCAAAATGGGCGTTACGTGTTGATGTAAGTAGGTATACATGTGATGGTGAGAGTGGAAGAAGAGGCAACAAGGTCGTAGTTAAGTAGGTACAAGGTGAAGAAGTGGACCCGTCACTTTTGTGGCAATATTGATTAGGGTTCTTTATACTATTTGGTCTTTACTTCTCACTCCCTCCCTCTGACCAAAACCCAATCACATTAGTTGCGTCTTCGGATGGGAATTCCCTCCAAGGAAAAAAAAGAAAGAAAGAATCACATTTGTAGATATCACCAAACACTCTTTTGTTTCTATTCAAACATAGGGGTCCACCCTCTTTGTCGCACTTATGACTTAACCGCCCCCCTCCCTCCCCTAACATTTATCTCTCTCTGCTTTACATTCTCAACTAAACACACAGCTCATTTCTTGTACTGATTTTAAATTTAAATCTTGTAGTTTGAAAACTTTCAGTTTCAGATCAGTGGATATTCTGAACGTGGCGGTAATCTTTTGTATTCTGTCAGTCTTGTTTCCGGCTTATGAAAAATATGTGATGATGTAACCGGTTGGTTTCTGTTCTGATGCTTGAATTTGGGCGAAAATATATTTGGCTCTTATACGAACTTGATGCTATTTTCCACACACCGACGTACTTTCCTCCTTTGCAATTATCCTTGTCCTGCCCTCTTTTGACACATTCTAACTACATATGCAATAGTTTAAGTAAGAAATCTTATACCTTTCCCTCTGTTCTCTTCCCCTCAGGCCATTATCCCCAGAAAAGAAAATAAAATATATGACAGAAGTGTGAGACAAGCAACAGCAAGCAAAGAGCTTCCATGACAACAGTATATATTGAAATAGATACAGCACGCACACACAGCAGCAACAACACTAGGGACCATACCCACAAACAAAATCCCTTTTTGTATACACTGTATATATATAATTAATTAAGTTGTCACACCCACATGAAGGGAATAAGTGGGATGAATAGGGTAAGGGGGTAAAGATCTCTGAGATTAGTTACTATGATGTGATGTGTGCCTCTTGTGGTTTAGGTTCAAATCAAGAGAATCAAGTTCCATTTTAAGGGACACAAGTACGGTGATGTACACAAAAGTTGTAATTTTCAGCAAGTGGTGCTGATTATTTACATGAGCCTTGGGTTAAATATTCAATGAGCCGATAATAACTCGTGTATTGGGAGATTTTTAACCCCCCCTCGTCAAACTTATGATGAAATGCTTTTGTTTAAAGACGATCGAGAATAATAATTGATTTAATTCTGTGTCACCATCAAGATGATAACTAGCTTCCGCCTTAGATTCTAGGATTCCATAATGTACTACTTTTCCAAAGCTTGCATACTCAGGGGCATGCATTCAATTATAAAAGCATAACCCCTTGCTAAATCTAGAGGGGGAATTTTAACTTTTTCTTTTTGAGTTTCTTTGCTCCCGCAATTGGAATGCACATAAATATGCAAATAATAATAAAAAATTCTCTATTTATATTTATTGTACCTATCCCCTTAAAATTCAGAAAGATGTCCATGGCATGCCGTCTTCACCTTTCATCTTCAATAATTCACCATCTTTCCTTTTCTGTGGAGCCTCGTTTTTTTATGAAGAAAATAAAAAGTAAAAGAGGGGATCGACCTTCCACCCTTTGGACAAAAGGACGATCCGTTATAAGCGAGGAGCATGTATATATGCTATATTATATTTCAGATATTAATGTAAAATATTAAAACAGGAATTAGTCAAATACGATATATTCCCCATCAATTCCGTGTCTGTACATATTTCTCTTTATCCTCGAATTATAAATTATTCTATAGAAAACTCAGAATGGGTCAACTTCATGAAATCTTACAAGACAATAAAATAAGGGGATAACTTTTATGAGTAATGGAAAAGCGGAGAGGGAGAAAGACATCGTTATGCAACTCTTGATCACTTTGTACATTCAAGTACATATGTTTCTGACAAAATTTGAATAATACTCATAACACAGGCATCAGGCAATACTTCTTTTCCTCTCTCGTTTTTACAAGTGTCGGTGCGAGGCAGATGTCGAACGTGCTTTCCCTCCCTTTGGCTTGGCTGGCCGTGAAAAACCAGTCCATATGTTAATAATGTCCACTTCAGTGACAACACAAAAAGTTCTCAATTGCGAGTTTTCGTGCAAGATAGAAAGAAAGAAAGACACGCGTGAAATAATAAAAAAAGAATTACAATCAAGTCTCACAGAATAAAAGTAATTACCAAAAGATTCTAATAACAACCTTAACAACTTCTAATTATAAGTTTTGTAATAAGAATAACAATATGTGGGATTTGTTTTTCAATTATTTTTCTTACTTGGGATCTTATTATAATTCTCCCAATAATAAATTCCATTTACATCATTGATCTCCACGAGAATATGACAGCTTCATTACAACCCAAAAAAAAAAAAACCACCACCATTCAAGTAACAATCTCTATATAGAATATATAAGCAGTACTACCTACCCACCCCTGCGTTGTTTTCTGGGTAAATCAGTTTTTATGAAACAATGTTCCAAACATCGAAAATTTTAGTCCTATTAACATCATACGGCCTCAATTTATTATGACGGCTCCTTCTCCCGCCATAATAGTTACTGACGGCGATGGACTCCTTTCAAAGGCTGTTATGTGGGGAAAAAGAATAATAGCTCCAGAGTATTTATTTTTTTATATATTAATTATTAGTTATTCTGTGCCTTTCCATGCCAATGATGGGATTACCTCACCCTTTCGAGCGTTATAAATTATAATTTATTTGGTCGTTCGTTTTCTTTCCTTATCGATTAATTATTTTATATTAAATTAATCATAGGAAAAGGAATTTTTTATCCTGTTCTTTGGTTATTCCATTTAGTACTCATCCTTTGGGCGCCATCAAAGATTATTATTGATAAAAACGTAGACAGTTTGAAAATAAGAGGAATTTTTTCTTTTTGAGCATTAAAAGAAAATAATTTATATATGCTTTAATTGTTGATGATGTGATGATGCTTGGCAGGTCTGATGCATGGAGCCAGGGTGGGACCCTTATTATGGGAGGGCTCATGATTCATATACACGCCTTCATGCACTTGATTGGGGCCCTCTTATTTCCTCAATTACCATTGCCGTAACACTGCTAAATCCGTGAGCTCATTGAAATAATATAGTAGTATAACCCATAATTAAAAGCTGGGAAATTAAACAGGCATCCATCATGGAGAAATTAATATATATAATTGATTGATATTGCAGGAACAGAGTATTTTCAGTCTTGACGGCATTAAAGACGGTGCTGGGGAAGTTGGTTCTGTGCTTCTTCACAATTTAATTGCTTTATCTTAGAACTCGGCCATCCAATCCAACCACACAAAAAAAAAAAAAACTAAATAAGGGGGGGCCATGGAAATTGTGAAAACGACAAGGAGATATTTAATGCAGAAAAAAAGTGCCCGGGAGACCCTTCCACCCCGCAGCGCCCACCCGCATCTGCTGCTTCATAATCCCCTCCTTCTTTATCTTTTCCCCTTCCCTCTATTTTTTAAAAATAAATAAAATGATTAATTAAACTTTGTGGAAGAAGACGTTTCCTCGTTTTTCAGCTGTTTGGATCTTCTGACACACCTCATCATAATTTTCCTTTTTAAAATAATGCTTCTCAGCTTCTGATCTGAGCACAGGCCCTTCTCTCTCTCTCTCTCTCTCTGTATCCCCCCAAAAGTTATTGATTTCTCCTTCGTCCATCCAAGGCTGCTTGGCTGCATCAAGTGATTTTGAAATGAGAGGGTCAAATCACAACAAGTTCCTCTGCTTTCATCTATTCCCAGGTACTTCTCTCTCAGACCCAAAAAAAAAAAACCTAAAAGAAAAGCCACCAACAATAAAAAAAAATTTTTTGGGTGCAAACAATAAAAAAGAGAGTTACTAATACGTAGTCTATGTAAAATTCCCCAGTCGCCTGGTGATACGGTCTCATATTTATTTTCCTCCAAGCCCAGAATTGGAAAAAGAAATAAAAAGAAAACCGTAATTTTTGGCGTGGAGAGTGAGTGGATAACGAGCTGAATAAAGATGGGTATCTTTCTCCCAAGTCTTTTTAAGCCCATCTCTCTCTTCAGCTCTTTTTTCCGCTTTTCAGCTGGGGTTGGAGTTGCAGAGATTTGAGTCTGACAGTGAGCTTTCCCCTTTGTGACTGAAGGGACCGATACAATCCCAAACAGAGATAGATAGACAGACAGAGCATATACACACACACACGCACGCGAACAGAGAGGGAGAAAGAGGTTGGGTTTTGATCCATCTATTTCTGCTGCTTTGTTTTCATGTATGCTAGCCATAACTGTATTGCTTTTAGTGGTGAGTCTATGTGCTGGTGTTTGTGTCCCTCTCTTTCAGAAAGAACCCATTTTTCTCTCAGGTTTTGGGTCATTGTAATTCAAATTCTTGTTTCCTCTTGCAGTGCAGGGACGATGATGAAGCACGTGCGCTCTCTATCTCTTATTTCCATCCCACCAGGTACTACTCTACCTCTTCCTTATCATTAACTCATATAAATAATCAATTCCTCTCCTTTTCCTTCTCTCTTCTCTCTGTCCTCCTCCTACCCTCTTCTTACCCTATATCTCCTTCTCCCTTCTTCAACCCTCCCTCTTTACTTCCCTCCCTTTCGATCTCTTGCTTTTCTCCAACTTCTTGGAAACACCGCGATGACCCTCAACCTAACACCATAAAGCTCTTCTGCAACTTTGAAACACATGAATAAGAATTTTATAAATTTCGAACATCTGAGTTCATGACCCTTTGGATCTTTACATGCTTTCGAGGAGAATCCATATCACTTATTCTTCCCGAGCCTTGACTGTTTATTGTTTCTCAGGACTCATTTGAGAAGACCGACTCTGTCACAGTGATATTAAGCGGCGATAATCCCGCTCGTGTTTGATGGAGTAATTCACAAGATTAAAGGTAGATTATACATGGTCTTCAATTTAATTTTAGATGTGCATGCTGTGTCTCCAAAAGAAGAGAGGTAGAGAGATGAGATGAGGGAGACGATTCATGGGTTTGTGAGGTTCGTTTTGGTTGAAGGAGGTCGAGTTTGAGAACCTAACTGACGTGCTCTGTTTCCAGCGAACTAACGAGTAAACAGATCGATGGCGACGTACTTCCATGGTAATTCAGAAATCCAAGCACCCGACGGCGGTCTTCAAACTCTTGTACTCATGAACCCAGGCTACATCCAGTACTCCGACACACCTCCGCCGCAACCATCGCATCCCGGAAACCTTGTCTTCCTCAATTCTGCCAACAACTCGCTCCCTTCCCAAACCCTACAACACGCGCCGCCCTCTCACACCCAACAATTCGTCGGCATCCCTCTCCCCGCTGCTCCTCCCACGACCCCACGCACCACTCCATGCATCCCCATCACGATGTCTCTGCTCTGCATGGATTCGTGCCCCGCATGCAGTACAACCTCTGGAGTACAGTCAACTCCAACGCGGCGGCGAGTGATACCCCACGCTCTCAACGGGGTCTGTCCCTCAGCCTTTCCTCTCAGCAGGCAGGGATGGGGTCTTTCCGGGTCGATCGTGACGTATCACAGGGTCAGGCGCCAACTATGTCAGGGGATGATGTGCGTGCGTCAGGTGGGTCACCGTCTTCGGCTTCCGGAGTTACTAATGGCGTTTCAGGGATTCAGAGCGTGCTTCAGGGCTCTAAGTACTTGAAGGCAGCTCAGGAACTGCTAGACGAGGTCGTGAACGTCAACGATGGGATAAAGAGCGAAATGGCTAAGAAAAGTCGCAGCCAGACAAAGGCGAATAAAGATTCTTCCACGGCGGCGAGTGGAGATGGTTCAGCTGGCGGAGAGGGAAGCGCCAAGCCCAGCTCTGAGCTCACCACTGCGGACAAACAAGATATTCAGATGAAGAAGGCGAAGTTGATCAGCATGCTTGACGAGGTATGTCACCGCAAGTTTTTTTTTTTTTTTTTAAGTTAAAATTTTGAGATTTTCTAACGAAGCCAGGATTTGGGATGTTTAATTAAAGAAATGAAAAACTTTTGACTCAAGTAGTAATCAAAGTTTATTAATGGATCTATAAATATATATATATATATGTAATTGTCTACATTACACTCTTATATTTGATTCAAAATTAATCCTTTTTTGCTGCTACTTGAAGGTGGAGCAGAGGTACAGACAGTATCACCATCAGATGCAGATGGTTAGTTCTTCATTTGAACAAGCTGCAGGGATTGGTTCGGCAAGAACATACACAGCACTAGCACTACAAACGATCTCGAAGCAGTTTCGGTGTTTGAAAGATGCAATAATGGGCCAAATTCGAGCTGCCAACAAGAGCTTAGGAGAGGAAGATTGCTTCGGTACAAAAATGGAAGGCTCGAGGCTTAAATACGTGGACCATCATCTACGCCAACAGCGAGCCCTCCAACAGTTGGGAATGATCCAGCACAATGCTTGGAGACCCCAGAGAGGATTGCCTGAAAGATCTGTTTCTGTTCTTCGCGCTTGGCTCTTCGAGCACTTCCTCCACCCGTAAGCATCTCAAATTCTAACTTCAACTTCCCAATCGAAGATTCTGCTTTTTCTCAACTCTTTCTTGATGCCTCTGGGTTGTTTGATTTCAGTTACCCCAAGGATTCAGACAAACAAATGCTTGCAAAACAAACAGGGCTCACCAGGGGCCAGGTACTTAATAGTCTTGGCTGTTTTGGTCAATTTTTGTCTCTTAATTATAGTATTGATCCTGTTAACCAAGTTTGCAATGATACAGGTCTCGAATTGGTTCATAAATGCGCGAGTCCGATTGTGGAAGCCGATGGTGGAAGAGATGTACTTGGAGGAGATGAAGGAGCAGGAACAGAACGGTGGGGAGGAGAAATCAAGCAAGAGTAGTGAAGATCCTGGCATTAAATCTTCAGCAGCCCCACAAGAGAAATCTCCTGCCTCTGCCACTGAACCCAGAAGCTTCAATTTCAAACAAGACGTTTCCACAAACCCCAACACTCCAACAGTATCAGTGTCTACGCCATCGACATCACCAGTTGGAGCAAATGCCAGAAACCACCCAGCGTTCAGCTTCATGGGGACTTCAGAGCTAGATGGGATCGCACAACCGAGTCCCAAGAAACCAAGGAACCATGAGATTCTGCAGTCCCCAATTAACGTTGATATGAAGCCCGATGATGCAGGGAATGGCCAAATCTCCATGAAATTTGGGGATGAGAGGCAGAGCAGAGATGGGTACTCTTTCATGGGAAATCAGACGAACTTCATTGGAGGATTTGGGCAGTACCCAATTACAGAAATTGATAGGTTTGAGGCAGAGCAATTCACAACAAGGTTCTCAGGTAATAATGGGGTTTCCCTCACCCTTGGTCTTCCCCACTGTGACTCATTATCGGCAGCGACGCATCAAACATTTCTTCCAAACCAGAGCATTCAACTTGGAAGAAGGATGGAGCTGGGTGAACCAAACGAGTTTGGCGGCATAAACACTTCAACTCCTCTCTCTTCGGCTGCATTTGAGAATATCAATATGCAGAACCCCAAGAAGTTTGCTGCCCAATTGTTGCCAGACTTCGTGGCTTGAATAAGACATTAATTAAACAAAGAGACTGGGTTTCTCATAGTATGCTAGGGTGGGGGGATAGCGAAGAATCCATGGCATTGTAAAGAAAGGAGGAAATTTATATTAGTATAGGTTTATAGTTTATACCCTGCAAAAACCATTTGAGTTCTAAGATGGCTAGGCTAGCTTAGGATTTGAGATTATATGGTTGAGGATTTGTATATTATTTTTGTAAGCTTTGAAGATGGGATAGATGGGTTGGTCATGTCATAAAGTTTTTATTTGGGAAAATTTCAAATATATTTTGGTTGGGTGGTACATGTGTTGTGATTACTGATTACCTTTTACTGCGTTGAAGAATTGCCAAGTGAACGTTAAAACTGGCCTCCTATAAAACCATTCCACGCGAAACGAACCAGTGATCGTTCAGAAGAAGAATTAGAAGTTACAGAGGCGCGGAGGTGCGACCATATGTTAGTTGCAAGATGATTGTGATTATTATTACAAAAGTTGAAGCTACTAGATGTAAGGATAGAATATAGTCAGTGCAATTAGGATTGACTCCTCAGAAGGATACAGCGTTCTTAGCTTTCTAAGTACTAGTGTCACTGAATATTTAAATAATAACAATAAAATTATGAGCATAAATTGACGTAATCCATCGGTAAGTAGTAAGCACTCGTATCTCTTTTTTCGGTCTAGTCTTTACTTGCCTGTACTAATAAGCAATAAAGTCAACAAAGACCCTTTAAAAGTCTAGGGACACTTTGGTTGTCCCCTCATCTCAGGCGCGAGTCCCTGGCCAGAAGCCTTCTAAATCCAATATGAACATCCGAGCTGCCAATTATGAGGAATCCCCCCCCCCCCCAAAAAAAAGTATCACTCACTTTAATCATGAACAAGAACACATATATAACTAGTCCTAAAGCAATCTGCATATAAACTACATGCTGCGAAAAAAACAAAACAAGACAAAACACGAATACACGAGCACGCGTAGATATCCATGATCCTGCGTAGCTCTAGTTGTTTGATTAGCATATACCGCGTCCGATTCTGATACGGGCCGGGGGCAGGACAGAACAGGACAAAGTTCAAATTGGAGTTAACTAATGATGTAAAGGATAATGATCTTGCATAAAGGATAAGCACAAGCAAGCTTCCCTTATTCAAAGATTTCTGCTTCGGCTAAAGCGTATGGGGGTTTAATGGTATAATAATTGCTGTTACTTAATACAATAAAATACCATAATTATCTCCTGCATAAACGTGGTGACTTAATTTACGGACAAAAGTCAAACCGTGTGCCTCTTTTTTTAACACCTTTATTGACTTTGGCCTCCTAATGTGCATTGGTCATTTCATTTCATTAATTTAATAACAGAACTGGGTCCTGACGTTTTTTTTGGGTTTAATAGACCGGTGGTAAGCCTTTGACGCAGTCTCAAATAGATAGAACAGCCCAGACGAATTAACAAAACTAGGACAATTGCGAGATCCAACAGGTCAAACATACATCAATGGCGTCGCCCAGAAACGATGTAGTCGTCTCTTTGCAACTTGGTACGAGTAACACCATGCTTCAAATATTCCTGTCGGGTCTGAATACAAAACACATTCAATTCCGAACTCCTAATCATTCAGTCGATCAGAAATGCTATATAATCTGCAATTTCTCTCTTTCAGTGCTCACTTAGAATAGTGAATTGTGAGTACTGTAATTCATCTGAATGTCTCCTAGTGGGTTAGTCCGGGAGCTGAGTTTTACGGTACTCCACGACGTAAACACCCATCATTTTTTTTTTTTTGCCAACCTAGTTCATCAGAACTTTGCTTCGACTACATATGGATCCGACCCGTGTTGCGCACCTGGTTATGGTGGGTGAGTCTCCTAACGGGGATTTCTGCATACGTTGAGGCTCGAACTCGAGACCTCGCTTAAGCGGTACCAAATCGCTTACCATTTGGACTAACCTTCGTTGGTAACACCCATCATTTTAACACACCGAGCACAACGGCATGCTCTTTTTTGTCTTTCTCCCAATAACACAAGCGGATGACAAGGATATTGGGCTCAGGCCCACAACAGAAAATTCGCCCTTGTGTGATGATGTCTAACTGCATAGGAGCGGCCCATAGACCCAATCAACCTTTAAAATTAGAGTTGCATATTAATCTGAGCATATTGGGCTCAACAAAGGTGCTTATTGGTATAAATCATGCGGTAATCCAAAAAATAATAATAAAGAATCTAATTAGATTTTGTTTCATTTTTTATTATTAATTTATCTGTTTCCTGGTCGTAATTATAATCTATGGATTTAATATTTTGCTCTTTTTGTGTTTGTTTCTGGGTTGAAATGTTCTTCTATTAGTGGGCCTGAGTTCTTTTCTATTATTTCTGTGATTAGATTGTCCTTTTGCCATCGTTAAGTATCTGTTAATAAAATTTCAGGGTACCGTTATCTTTCCAGCCAAACAAAACGCTAGATTCATCAACTACCCTGATATAACAGTTTTCCAAGATGTATACAGCATATATCTTGCTAAACAGCGAGGCCTCCAGCATATTTATGAAAATAGAAGAAACATTGAGCAAATGCTCATGTTCAACCTCCGATGCCAACTAGGAGAAGTAAAAAAGACACGTATAAGTTGAAGCTACGTTTTCAAGGTATAGATAGAAAGTATGCATAATTATAATATTTAGACAAGTTTCAAAAGAATGCGACGTAGAATTAGCATTAAGGCAGTTTGGACCATATATGAAATATGACACTCAGATCAATTGCGGACCCATGCATGCGATGATGCTGAGGTTTATATATATTCGATCAGACTAAAATCAAACGAATGTGTTCTACGATGGATTGGGATCATGTTTGTTACGAGATGGAGAGTTGAACATAATGAGGGTGGACCGTGAAAATCAGAAACGTGACGACCACTAAATTGTCAAACTCATTCCTTTTGATCGCACAAATAACAAAGCAACGCACCGGCTTCAATGTTTTTCAAAAAGTTGACTGAAACCTATAAAAAGCAAGTTAGGAGTAGAGAAGTCGCCGGTAATGGAAGGGTCACGACGATGATGAGGATTGGACGAGTTTGAAGTGGGTGTTGTGGGGACTCCCAAATTAATGAGCAGAGGGATCGATTGCAAACAGACAACAACGTTGACTTGGAATTACGAATCATAAGAAACAAATGGGAAGAATATTACGATGCCACGGGATTCAAATGACGACCAGCCGGCATTGTTGGCCGATCTAGATCCATCTCATAATCCCTCCCTGCACGCCATGATCTCACTTTGCAAATATTTTCCCCATTTCTCTACCTGCGTATATCTATGAAAATAATTCAAAAGGTTAATTAATGTGATGTTTTAAAGTTTGAATGTTGAAGTTAGTATACTTTAGTTCGAATGAGTAATCGTGATAGTTAAATTTGTCGCTTTCATATATATATTTGTAATTATTCATAGAATTGTGATGTGATCATCAGTTATTACTTACTTAAAATGGAATCATACCTCCTGACAATTCGCTCGCTCGCTCGCTCGCTTTTTTGTCGCACAGTTATCCCCAATAATCTAAGTGTATATTACGGCATTTAGTTTGTTTCATTAATATTCAACTCATGACTGGTTTGTTAATTTATTTTCGGACCCTACTAGAGTGGGAAGGGAAATTGGAAATAATAAACAACATATATATGCGCGCGCGCACACAGAGTTGGCCAAAAAACACACACACACACACACACAAAATCACTACATACATGTAAATGATCATTTATACATGTATATTATTTAGAGGAAAGCTCATTATTTATAGCGAACACTCTTGTCTCAAATACTACATCTAGTCCTTAATATAAGACTTTATTTGACTCTTATTTTAGTCCTAAATATAAAATTTTAATTCACTTTATCTTTCGTATTTATCTATTTTTTTAAAGATAATCTTTTTAATAATAGTATTTCTAACCAATAAACTTAATTAGTAAAGATATTTTAGGAAAGACAACACTTATTTATTAAATAACTCATTTAATTTATTTCTTTAATTTATTCAAATTAGTCAACTAGCTCTTATGTTTAGAAACGGAGATAGAAACTTATATAACGGCTGAGATAAAACAAATTGCATACGCGGATAAGGCAGTTGAGAATAGCATATGTTATTGTAATATTAATGTTTCAAACCCTACAAGAAGAAGGAGGAGGAGGAGATTAATCAACTGAAGAGGGATTAAGTAAGCGTATGGGTTTGGGCAGTAGAAGCAGGTTCAAAGAATATCAGAAAGAGTTAGGATGATATTTCACCCAAAGAAAGAAAGAAAGGAAGAAAGGAAGAAAGGGTTAGGATGACGAGTGGGATTGCGCGTATAATCGATGTGAGTAAACTTGCCCGTTTACTTGGGTCTTCCCTTTTGACTGGAAGTGGAATTTCATCTCCTCACGTGACTACACACGTTAATTAATCAATTTTCAAAAAAGAAAAAAACATAGCACAATTCACATTGTCTCAATAAGTCTCTTGTTCCTAGTTCTTAGTTCTTTTCCCATCCATAGCTCTGCTCTGCCTGTCTTGTTCGCTATACAGGCAGTAAATTATTGCCCTCTATGATGTCTATAATAATTGCCCCTCCCTTTTGAATTCCCACTATCAAATATATATTAATTGAAGCACCTCTCATCTTGGAAACTCTTTTTCAATATGTGACAGTTTGCTTTCACAATAACACACAGATTAGATATATATCGACCATGCATGCTCACTCTACTAAGGCATAAATGTTATCGTACTGTGTTGGATCAGTTGTATATGTCAACATTTTGTTTTCAAAAGAGTACAACGCGTTTAATTAGCATTATATACTAGAGAGAGTAGCGAGACATTCTGCAGAGAAGATTGTGATCTCGTTATGTATCTTCCACAAAACTGAGGCTGAGAATCCGTAGAAAGTAATTTCATGACTGCTATCCGCGGGATCAGATGTGCCAATAATTAATTACTATCTCCGGTTCTAATTATAAGACATTGTTTGTGGACTATAAATGAGATCTTATAATTAGGACCCGAGGTAGTATTTTCTTATTAAAAATTGTAACTACGAGAAACAGGAGATTAATTAATTAGTCAGAAAGGAAAAAGGGAAAAAGATGCTGTCTGGTTATTTGTCAATAATTTAAATACAGTCGAGGGGGTAAGCGGCAGAGAGAAAATCAAAGTTGTGTACACATGGTGCGTCAAACAATTGGGAATAATATACATAACAAAGGTCCCTGAAATGTGATACACAGGTATTCT